GTGCTCTGCTATCAATCTTATAAATAACAAAAAACAGTCCTTGCGAGTTTTGGTTTCTCTTTATATGTAAAAACATAGTGCGTTTTCTAAGAAATAACGGCTCACATGCGTTTCTATTCCTACAAAAATGTTTTGCCAATTCATCCACAACAAGAGCAACTAACTAGTAACTCTACAATAACCGATAACTTGTCTTGTGAAAACGTACCTTGACGCCTTACCGCTATAACTATCTCCGCTTTACTCTCGCCAAAAGAATGGCAGTCAATATCCTTTGACTGCATTTAGTATAACTAGACGATGTTAGCTACACCTATTTCAAAAAAAACGTTGTCGTCGCCAGGACTCAGTCCACAGTCTTGAGCCTGCAAAGAATCTCGGGATTGCCATATATAATTAATGTGTTCAATTTCAGTTATTCAAAATACTCCGATTTAGAGTTCTGGTTTGCTCTGTGTTAGCTCCAAAACCAATCAACATATTCTTTTGTTTCATTGATATCCCGAGAGAACGCATGTAATTTGAAAAGGGAGACAATAGAATTGATTTGAAATCTCACACTTTTATTCTCACAATTAGGAATATTTTGCGAACAAATTAGGCTAACACAGAGCATTGGAGAATTCGAAACTGGATTATTCTCGGTCTCATAGCGAATATAGCTTACTTTGAAACTCATTGACGTGGAATATTCATTTCAAGGAAAATGTCTCATGGCGAGACTTGTTCGATGGGCCGCAATTGGATTATTAGTAGTGTTTGCCGCCATTGCATTCAAACCACAATATATTTTGAATATATTAATYACGCATGGAAACCCCGAGATTCTTTGCAGGCTCAAGACTGTGGACTGAGTCGATCGTGGTGACTTTTTGAAATAGGTGTATATTGATTTGCAGGATGCGTAGTGCGTGAAACCGGGTTTCCAATGCAAAATGGARATTGCGTGAGGTTTTTGGCGGGTACTGGTTACTAATAGAGATATTATTAGACAGAAAGATGTCGTGTTGCAAAGGCAACCATTCATGTCTATAAAATATCTATGGCTTAATTACACATAGGTTATACGAGGTTCTTTGATTTGCAGATGTGTCGAGGTAGGTTCAGAAGTCGATTCAGCAACTTAAGTTAGCTCGGCCTCTGGAAGATTGTTTACAACAACAAAACGGATACTGGAGGGTAATAGAAATAGACATTAAAAATTATGGCAAGTACCAATGAAGACGATGTGGTGTTGCTTCATTCCCTTGAAGATCTATGTCTTCTAAAAGTGATGAAATATCTCTCTCTCGCCAACGTCTGGTTCTTTCATAGACTTGTACCCTATGTACAYTGTCCAAGAATCGAGCACATCGTTCACTCGTTCATTTGTGACAATTTCGTGGACATTTCTCACACCGATCAGTTCTTGGCTTTGGACGAGAAAGAAATGCAATGGTTTCTCGACAATCAAGATATCAAAGTATCGGAAGCAGCCATGTTAGACAGCTTAGCTCGATGGTACAAACACAAGAAAAAACAACGAGGAAATGCTTTCAAACACCTGTTTGACAAACTGCACTTAAATGTAATCAGCAAAGATTTGTTATGGGCATTGATCAAGAAGTATAAGTTAGTGAAAGTTATCCCTGAACTACGAGATAATAAGTCCGAGAACACGATGAAAAAGAAACTGTTTCATCRATCTCTAAACATTGATGACTTAGTTCGTCAGGAAAACATTGCAGTGCTGATATGCGCTGGCAGTGTGGAGCCTTGGACAGGTAATTGGACCTACTATTTGTCTTTAATAAACTTAAAAGAAACCGAGAMAACTTTACTTTGCGACYRTAYACCACTAAAAACYGAATCCGGTGAATTTCGTCCGCKCTTAGTTTTACCTCTTTCCTCRTGTGTTTATTTAATGGATGTTTGCATTAGGAATTGCAGAGAAACAATGATTTGCTGTGATATGACGACAGGTTTTGTCACCAAATGCGCTTCGATACCCAAACCKAGAAATTTGGGTGATCCTTGCATTCTGGCTGCCGCGCCATGTGGGATRTTTMTATTTGTTTTGATTTGTACTGACATAATCATTAACAACTATCGTTATGACGCCATTAAAGACGAATGGAAAGAAATGCGTCCCATGAATCAGCTTTATAGAGTTTCTACGATCAGYCGACCCAAAGCCATTAGTRCGTCTTTTAGAAACGAATATCTTTTTGTATTTGGTCGACATGGCGGGGCAAAATATAATGTTTACACAAACACATGGCGTGAAGTCAGCACTCCCTGGTTTTCATTGCCGTGGCTAGSGGCCAACACRAACGAAGTGYTYAATRAAGACATTGATAWTTCTCACTGCAYTTCAACAAATGACAAGGTGTTGGTAATAGTTCCTCACAAAAGACATCTCTTCATCTACACYCCTCATTGCGACACCTGGAAATCAGTGGRATTTAAAAGCKATGTYCCTCGTGGAGTGTSTRTTTACAAMTTTACTGCACAARMMCTGAATGGTCGTTTGTACTTGCTTTACCAACTCGAGGATCTCCGTCTGTATTTATCTGTATTATCTGGCCTCAAGAAAGAGAGAAAGCTTTTCCAGGATAAGGAGCCAAGGAGTTTTGTTTCTAAATACCCGTTGAACTTGATATCGCTGACAAGACTAGGGCGCAGCACTGCTGGCAGTTCTGTGTAATTCCATAACATCGATTGTCAACTTGTCAAGCACGATCAAAATGAAATATCAAACATATTGTACACAATGTGACTACAAACGATTGGAGAACATTCAGGGGAAATCACTTTGGTTGGAGTGATTTATCATTTTTGACTACACATTTTTCAAGAAGTTCCTGGAACTCTGATGGATGTGCATAAATTTTCTCTTAACCTTTCCACACTTGTAGACAATACATAAGCACGGCGGCAGCTGTAGCTGCTGTCAGAGCAACTCAGTATGCAATCTTAAGACATGAATTACGATTGATATTCTGTACTTGTAAGAAGAAAATGTCCACAAGGGGATCGGGGGATTTGCCATAACGGGTGAAATGTTGGATTTTATGAAATGCGTGACAAATCAATTGACAATTGAATGTTTCTCTTTTTCTTCTCTTATATCTTTATAATGCATTTAAGGTGCAGTGGGGAGAGTAGATTTTTCCTTCAAGGATACTAAAATACCAGAAGATACCGCCTTTCTCTTTAGATCGATTGAGCCCCATGCATCTAATGTGGTGAGGAAGCCTCTTTGCTTTTTATTTAAATCAAATATATTGCAGATAATCCAAAAAAAAAAAAAAAAAGGAAAATGTCATTATAAAGAACAATGACATCGCGACTTTTTCGGGCTTCCTGCTTCAAGTGTAAATGAGAGGAACTGGAAGCCAAGTGTGTTGTGTTACGTAATTTGACTTCCGTTCAAAACAACATGTCGGTGTATCGGTATGGAGTTTGGTTCGTGAAAGGCCTTCGAGAATACACTAAAACAGGCTATGAAGCCGCACAGAAATCGTTTAAACCTGATGCCCTCGATGTGGACATATCAATCAGATCATTCATGATTACAGGAGCAAACAGCGGAGTCGGCAAAGCGGCTGCTCTCGAACTTGCCAAGAAAGGAGCCACAGTTCACATGGTTTGTCGAGATAAAACAAGAGGCGAGGAAGCTAAAAATGAGATARTAGAAAGTTCTGGTAACGATAAAATATTGCTGCATATCCTAGATATGTCAGAGCCGCGRAGTGTTTGCCAATTTGCCCGTGATTTCGCGGCGTCAGAGAAGCCTCTTCATGTTYTAGTGAACAATGCTGGCTGCATGGTCAATTCTAGAGAGGTTAACRATAATGGCCTTGAGAAGAACTTTGCTACAAACACTCTTGGGACTTATATTTTGACCAAAGAGTTGATCCCTTGTTTGTCGAAGCAGGAATCTCCACGAGTGGTAACMGTCTCTTCAGGTATGTACTGTAGGTAGAAAAAAATGTATATACACAGGAAGCCCATGAGACACCAAAAATCAGAAATGACTGGCCACTATTTCCAGCTCTGTCTCACTATTTTGCGTTTCRTGTCAGGTGGAATGCTGCTTGTAAAACTGGACAACAGCGATTTGCAGTCAGAAAAAATGAGCAAATTTGATGGCTCGTTAGTTTATTCACAGAATAAACGACAGCAGGTTGTCATAACAGAGAGATGGGCAGAGAAAYACCCTAACATATACTTTGCTACCATGCACCCAGGTATGTTTTAAATGTTATATGTTCAGAATCGGCAGTTTAAGGTCCAGTCCTTGCTCATGTCGCATAGAGACGATCAACTGCTTTGTTCCTCTAAGTTATGGAGTAATAGGGTGGGACTAAGTAATGAGGTGGAAAAATAATTAAAGGCAAGGCATCTCACTTTCTTTCCCCTTCCCCCAGTCCCCACTCTTCCATATTTTTCCAAAGGGAACCTGAAGTATTAGTGCATGTCCTCGCAGCAGTTCTTGATATTTAATTCATGATTATTTACAGGTTGGGCTGATACSCCAGCTGTGCGCACATCACTGCCCGATTTCTACAACCGAACCAARCATCTGTTAAGATCACCAGAGCAAGGTGCCGATACCATTGTATGGTTGTGCATTTCTACACATGTATCCCAGCATCCCAATGGGTCATTCTTCCAGGACAGARGCCCAGTCCCAAAGCATCTACCATTAGCTTGGACAAAATCTTCTTTAGCTGAAGATAATAAACTTATAGAGTTGCTGGATGCAATGGTTTTGAAATTTTAGGCAATCTTTGATTTAGACAATTAATATGGCCCACTTTCATCAGACTGAGACTGATTTGGACTCAAGGGACCCTACATGTACTTCCTTTTGCCAGAGAAAATTGTCMAGTCCAGAACATATTTGTTCAACTCCTTAATCTTGTTTCTACTAATGTCAAGTATGATTAACAACATTTATGCAGGGGAAGTGATTTGGTAAAATATTTTAAATCTAAAGGCTGATTTACACGGCACGATTGTCTCGTGCTATTTGTAGTATACGACTTGAATCGCGCAGTGTAAATGCCCCTACGACTTGTCTACAACAGTCGTACGCAACCTACGACTTGTAGTAGCATTTTGTACCACTGCTTAAAATCCTACGACTTGAAGTAGGAAAATCGTACACTACAAGTCGCGCGCGACAAATCGTACGGTGTAAATCAGCCTTAAGGAGACACAAAAGGAGCGCACAAATTACTAAAACCAGTGTGTAAAATGACACATGTCAAGAATTGACCACAAATGTCACGCCAGTTTTCAATATGGTGATATTTATGTAAGAAGAATAATAACMCATTAGTAATAACTAATTATAATGATAGAGGGGTTGAGGCAAAGTGTAATGCTATGAAAATACTTAAAACAAAAATATATTAAAACACAAAAATAAAAAGTATATATACATCAATAATTTTGAGGCTCGACATATACATGTACTACTATTAATTAAATTATAATAATTGTCAAGGGTAAAATGGTGTGCATTTTTTTTGAAAAAAGTATTAATAGTATGAAGAGACTTATAATTTGAATGAAAAAAATACTCACTGGTTTTATGTTTCACATTTCTCAGAAAATAAGGTTTTCAATCAACATATCGAAGTAGAGTGAAGTCATTAAACCTGTGAAACGATAGTCAAATAGACACAAAAGAAAACAATGCAATCATAAATGTAGATACCTACTATAGTGCAATATCTCACATGTTTTTTGACTTCACTCTCTAGAAGAATTGGACTTTATTTAAACAAATTAGTAGTAATTACCACTAAATACTGTTGATTAGAAAGTAGAAAACAAATTATTTGCATATAAGGTATTAATGCTACCTTATGTTTTTATTGAAGTTTTATGGATTAAGTGGGTTTTGAATCTTCATATTACATGTAATTGCTCAAAGTGTCATATGCACTTTAGTACATATGCTTGTTCTAATAATTCAGGTCAAGAATCCTAGTTTAAATCATTTGATGTACAAGTAAATAAAGACTGATATTTATTTTAATGCTTTACATGGGTTCTTCATTCAAGTCACTTGTTTTCTTCCAGTATAGAAGTGCATAAATAATCCTGCTATTTGATCCATTGACAAAATCAATATATTTAAAACTATTATTTTGTTGCCTATTTTGATGATCTTCAAATTTTCAAAGCTAAATCATTGTTAGTGTTTGATCTGATCTTATTCAGTATTACTGAGTGATGATTCATTATTAGAGCATTATCAATTTATCTGCTGTGCTCAGGTAGCATTAGCTTGATCCTCATTGGCCATTGTCAGCAGGTAYGTGGTCGCCGATTCAACATTATTTCCAGATGCTTCCAGGACYGATTTGATRACACTTTCTTCCATATTAGGAAACATATCCTTGAGGTTTTGCATGTCTTGYRGGGAAACTTGTCGAGGTGGTTGTGGGTGAGCCTGAGGAGGATTGGGTCCTTGAGGGTATTGTTGKGGGKGATAYACTACTGGCATTCCAGGAACTGCTTGTGGTACCATCATGACTGGCACCATGGGTTGTTGGTAAAACACTGGCTGTGTTTGCTCTTCCTGGAAATTCATACAATTTCAGATGAGTATGTCGACTAAACTGATAGTCATAAAAATAAAAGACCATACTAAGACTTGMCAATAATTCTCTTTTGTGTAAGCTTAGCTTCAATCAAGCATAAACAAGTTTATTGTGTTTGCATTACAATTATAGGATCTGTGCTGAATAAAAGAATATAATATATATTTTACATGCTTTTGAGGTTAAGTCGGTACAAATGTAAGTTATAGATCTTGAACTGGAGTGTTCCCTGCTTTYAGAGTCCCTCTCATTTGTGATTTTCAACATGAGARACTTTGCTAACCTGAGCTGCTGCATTTTTTGATATCTTGCTGTCCATAATTATGGACAAATGAAAAAAGTTTGATAACAGATTTGATCAGAAACAATGGATTGGCTATTAAGCATGACAAGATGAGTAACACTGCTTGAGTTATTTGAGCCCATGGCTACATGCCAAAAAAAAAACATGGTTGCTATATAAGTTACAAATAGCAAGGGATGTCAGGAAAAAAGACTGCAAAGGAGACTAGACATGATGAGCTTCGGGACGAAAACTTTTGGGCCACTAATTGG